CTGGAGTCGCGGCTCCATGTTTAGCTCCGTGGGCTCCGTGACAAGCTCCCCACAAGGCGGGGCTGATGGAGAGCACCCGCTGGCTCTGCTTGCAGCATCGCTTCCTCGAAGCAGACACGGGGCTCCCGCTTGATATCTCCTCCGAACGCCGCCGCCCCGAGGTGGGGGGGAGGCCTTCCCCGGCCCAGACATTGAACGAATCGGCACCGGATGTGTAATCACTTGCGATGTTTTGTTCTTGGGGTGATTTTCTGAATTCGGGGCTTATGTGGAAGGGCCGAAAACGTCCGCGCTGCAGCGGGATCACGTTTTGGAGCAACCAGATGCGCAGAAGTGGGGCCGGCGCTGCAGCGGGAACAACATTTTGGAGGACCGAAGAGAACCGGATTGCCAACACACACACACACATGTGAAAACTAGGAAATGAGGCCAGCGCTGCAGCGGGAGCACGATTCGGAACGAGCGGAAACGCGGCAATGAGGGCAGCGTTGCAGCGGGAGCGCGATTCGGAACGAACGGAAGGCCGAACATGAGGCCAGCGCTTCAGCAGGAGCAACACTTTAAACAAAAAACTGCGAAAGCCAGTTCCCGGGAAAAAACGATACGCGGAGGGGGACCGAAGATCTTTTGGACGTCATCAGGGGAGAGAGGAGAGTAGTACTCATATTGTGTAATTGTGGAGAGAAGGAGGGAGGTGGAGGGGGAGAGGGAGGGAGGGAGGGCGGGGGAGGAGGGGAAGAGGGAGGAGGGAGGAAGGGGTAGGACGAGGAAGAGCGGGAGGAGGGGGGAGGGGGGGAGGGAGGGAGGGAGGGCTCGGCCGGGAAGGGCTGCGTAGAATGCGTGGGAGGAGCAGGCTATCGTGTCCAACCGCTTCGCGCACTCCGCCGGCCCATGGTGCATCACCGTTGCCATCTGCCTGTGTGCTCGTGGCGAGGCTTTCTGGGATGGCCGCAGTTCGCCCAGGCAGCCGTGCGGAGAGCTCGCTGGGGAGAAGCGGTCGCTCGGCAGATGCCGGCTTCTCAAGAGAACGCCCCCTCCCAAGCTTCACCATCAGAGCCCGAAGCTAGAGGAAATCGCACATCGAGCATGGAGCGTTTCTCCGAAGGGCTTAGGCGAACCGTCCTCCTCCTCCTCCTCCTCCTCCTCCTCCTCCTCCTCCCTTCTCCTCCTCCCCCTTCTCCTCCTCCTCCTCCTCCTCCTTCTCCTCCCCATCCTCCCCCTCCTCCTCCTTCATTTTCCTCCTCCCCCTCCTCCACCTCCTCCTCCTCGGGTCGCCTACGGCCCCGGGGGAAACAGTGCAATCGAGCAACCCTCTGCGGAGATGTCTGACGGGCAGCCCTCGGAAGTGCGTCTACCGGTTTCTAGCCTGCCTGCTTCTGCTCCTGGTGGCCCCAGAAGCTCTCAGCGATCCTGGGACAACCTGCAGAGTGCCCCGCAGCCGCCTCACATTTTTTGAAGACCGCTCAACTCCTTATACACAATCGGTATGGACGTCGTGCGACAAGTTCTCCATGCGGAAACTCCACCGCTCTCAAGCGACAGCGGAGCGATCCTCAAATGAAAGCGGTATGCTTACCGTGTGGAACTCGTTCGGCCCTCGCATGGAAGTCGTAAAATCCTCAGCTTGAAACAAAAAAACGCTTCTTTCGAAGAAGACACCTACCTAGACCCCAGCGTCATGATGTTTTTCATAGCGTCGACCCCGAGACGTCTGGACCCCTGCCCCAAGACCGGTACTTCATCCTGAGTCGTGTTTTGACGGTCCCGATGCCCAGTAAGGGCCTCCAGAGGCCGAAAACAGCGGAGAACCTCCCGTCGTGATTTTGGCATGACTCGAGGGGTTCTGGGTATATGGTATTCCCAGGGACAGTGTGCACTTTGGGGGGCAACTTCTGATACTACCATTGTGTTCCTAGGGGAAGTGTGCACTTCGCAGGAAAACTGTTCACTTGGGCGAGACAACAAAAAAAACGGGGTCGTCTGCGCCGACATTGGTGCGTAAGTTGCCCGCCTGAGGTCGCAAGGTCGCGTGTAGACGCCCCCGTCTCCGCTGTGGCGTGCCGTGCCAGCGGCCCGCGTGAGCCACCGCGTAATGTCGCTATGCCATCTGGCTTCTGACAGTTACTCCACTCGAAACCACAGGTCAGGATGGATAACCTTCCCAAGGGTAACCCTGCATCCTTGCCTCTTTGGCCCATCCTTGACCACACCCATCGGAGATCAGAAGAAAAAAACGTCAACTCTCGTGGAGTCCAGATGTCGTTCAAGAAAACCAAGAATCAAGCCTGGATCTTGGGCGTTCTTTGGATTTTTTTTTGGCTGGGACGTTCGTATATCTGGACCTGGAGTAATGTTCAAGACGACGCTTGGAGTGGCGCCCATTCTCTTAGCCTCAAAATTTCTTGACTCTGGGAATGGGTGTACCCTCGATGGCCCGCCCCACTCGAAATGCTTCGACATGGGCGTCCAAGGCCCTTGCACCCTTACACGCCGGGCGTTGAAAGTGTGGATTTTCTGGATTCCCGGATTCCCATCCAATATAGCCGCCTTCCTATTTGAAGACTCGAGTGGTTCGCCCTCTTCCCTCCCCTTCGAGGGGGCGGGCGGAAACCCGATCTGCTTCCAACGCCCTCCAACTCCCTGTCTCTACCCACCTCCCGCGACCGACGGGCACCCCGCGTCCTTAAAGTCCACCCGCATAGGAAGGGTGGGCAACCTTCCCAAGGGTACCCTTGAGGTCCTCGCCTCCTCGGCCCATCCCCAGGCGATCGCAAGCATGGATCCAGGGGGCGCGGATTGGTGACGGGCCTCGTTTCCATGGCAAATCGCGGATGCCCTCCGCCGAGCGAGGCGGCACCGGCCGCATTTTGGGGAGGGCACCTCCCCCGATCCATGGATTTGGCGACCGCGCGCCAGATCCACGGATCGCGCCCCCGGCATCCCTCGCCGCTCTCGTTGTTGGGCGCCGCGTGGTGGGGGGGTCATGCACTGTACAGTGGGGGGGTGGCGAGGGTGGTCCGAAATTCCCAAACGGTACCTAAACGAGCCCCCTGGGGCTCCGCAGGGGCCCGAAAGGGGCACGAAAGGGGATTGTTTCTGACCCCCCCATTTATCACCGAGCGCGTTTCGCTACCCGCAAAGTGACTACTCGCAAACGTCCGAAAAGCACCTGCTTTGACGCAATGTATCGTAGAGCCCCAGCCGGGGATGCAGGCCATCTGCGAGTAGCCACTTTGCGAGTCGTGGAAAGCGCTCGTCGAATTTATGACCACCCCATTAGGCCACGCCCAACGTTGGCCGCGCCCCGCTCGAGAAGCCTTGACGTGGGCCTTTCACGGCCCCTGTACCCTTGCCGCGCATCCTTGCGATGATACGGATGGCCCGTGCCCCGTCCCGAGCTGCGCTGCCAGGAGGGGCCGCCGGAGCCCCGCCAACGATTGCATTGTCATCAAAAGTCCGCCCGTGGGGAGGACGGGCCCGGCCTCACATCTCGCGGCGGCGGCGAGATGTCAGGCCGGGCCCGAAATAAAAAAAAAGAAAAACAAAAAAACATCTCGCGGCGGCGGCGTGCCGCGACGGCGCTGCCACGCCTCCTCCTCCTCCTCCTCCTCCTCCTCCTCCTCCTCCTCCTCCTCCCCCATTATCCCCCCCCCTCCCTTGGTGGCATCTCTCCTCGGTGGCTGCCGTCCCAGACCCCCTCCCCCGAACAAGAGACAAACCTCGGCATAAGCACATATCAACTTTTGGCGCTCCGCGCGGAGTTCTTGGATCTGCGCTTGGGGGTGTCTCCTCGGTGGCTGCCGCCCCGGACCCCCCTCCCCCCCCCCACCATCATCAGGCGGGTGGGAAGGGGGGGGTGCCTCGATGTGGGGTGAAGAAGAGGGCTCTACAGGGGCACTTTGGGGCCCCTTTTGGAGCCAGCAGGGGCCCAAAAGGGGTTCTAAAGTGCCCCTTTAGGGTCCTGTTCTTCACCCCCCGTTGAGGTCACCCCCCAGTATCACCCGCCCCCCCCATTATCACCCGCCCCTCCCTTGGGGGCATCTCTCCTCGGTGGCTGCCGTCCCGGACCCCCTCCCCCGAAGAAGAAACATCGGCATAACCATAAACTTTTGGAGCTCCGCGCGGAGTTCTTGGATCTGCGCTGGCGGGGGGGGGGCTCCCTGGCGGCGCCTCCGGCGCCGCCCTGGCGCGCTCTGCGCGCCCGGAAAAGAGTTGCAGCGCAGATCCACGAAATCCGCGCGGAGCGCCAGCAGCTTATGTTTATGCCGTTTTCTCTTCTCCCATCCCGCCCCCCTAACAAATCACTTCGAGTCGAGACAGAACCACGGCGGGAGGTTTTCCACCGTTAAAGAATTCGTTCGACAAAAATAGCGGATCTACAATAATTGCCGAATTCGACAATTTTTGTCGAACGGGCCGGAACAATTGAATTTTCAATTGATCTGTAACTTCACAAATAACCTAACGGTTGCCCCCTAAAACAACCTAGCGAGTAACCAAATGGGCCTAACAAACCACCTAACAAACAACCTGACGTATAACCGAATGTTCCGAACAAACAACCTAACAAACAACCTTACAGCAAAAAAGAACACATCACCGACATAATAGCATAATGGACCTACGGAAGAACCTTAGCATCATGGACCTAACGAAAGCCTTATATGATTAACATGCGAGAGATAACCCAACAAACAACCTAATTGTAAAACCTGGCCAAGCACATACTCTCACACATAACACTGACGTTACATAGTAAACCACCTCAGACACTACATGTAACATGGTACATGACAGCACACATCGACATTGTTCTCAATGATTTGCACTGCATTCCATTGCATTGTGCTGTTTCGCGGGGCGCCGCATGGGATCGCATTCGTTGGTTTTCTAGATTGCCTCACATAGTTTCGCAGATTTGGTTGTGATTTACGTTGCCTGCATTTCATGTCGCACTTTCGTGTGATTGGCCTTCCGTCGCCATTTCTGGGCTCTAAGTGGCTGTGGCAACGCATTGAATTTCGTGACCATGGCAGCTCTGAGTGGCTGGGCTCTAAGTGACTGTGGCAGCTCTAAGTTTTGTCTTTTGTGGCTCCACTTCATTCCTGTGGCAGCGCATCATGGCTGCCGCTCGTGAACCGCAGGGCTCCCCGCCCTCGAGCAAACGTTTGTCTGCCAATCCTATGATTTCGGTTGCTGATATCCAAGGCGCCCTGAACACGTTCTTGCGCGATGAGTGCCCGAATCGTGGCATACATGGGTTTCTAAAAGTAGGCATCGACCACAAAGTGACGTGGCGCGCAGCTCCCACGGCGAACGTCCTGGCAATGGTGAGCCCCCTTTTCGTTGCGTTGGCACCGATCATCCAGAACTGAGTCGCGCCAGGATTGAAGCTCGAGAAGTCCTTCGTCGCGTGCGACGAGCGGAAGGAGGCAAATTTCACGGCTGTTTCCGCCACGGACTGGTCCAACAACAGCATGGCCGAGGCAATCAGGATGCTTTGGATGGATTTCCGCACAGTAAACGTTAGTTCCGAGGCTCGGAGGCGCTGTTTTTCGGGAGCGTCAACCACCGAGGTGGAACAGATCAGGAAAGTCCTAGACCTTCTGACGCACTTGCCTTAGGACACGAACGACAAAAAGAACGGCAAGACAGACGAAACCAGCAACCGGGAGACGTTCCAGTCCACGCCCGACGCCCCAGGAGCGAGGTACAGTCGGGCTTCGAGCTCGGAGAAGCTCCCAGGCCCCAAACTGGTTGAAGTCGCTTCGGAGATCGGGAAGGAGGAAGAGTACGAGTCCCTCACGGATAAGTTCGCGATTGATTTGGCGATTGCTTTTGCGGACATCGATTCGCTTTCGGCGCCCACCAGCTCGGCTCCGCAGCAAGTCTCGGCAGTGCAGCGCCCGCGTGGCGTGGCCGAACTCGACTGGGACATGCTGACGGCGGTCATGGAGAAGTCCGCGGAGGCCCCGGACACACCAATTCGCACCCCCAAGCCGATGAAGCGCAAAGGCAAAGGCACGGGCAACGGTAAGGGCGAGGGCGCGAGCAAGGGAACGAGCATGGCGTCCACGGGCAAGAAGGGCAAGGGCACGAACAAGGGCACGGGCAAGGGCAAGGGCACGAGCGAGAGCCTGAGCAAAGGCATGCGCAAGGGCAAAGGCAAGAAGACCAAGGGTGCGAGCAAGAGCACAGCGAAGGCCAAGGCGAGACCGCAGCGTCTTGATGGACGTACCAGCACAGCAATCGCCTCGCCCTTGATGGACGCATCGTCTCTCGGGATTCCAGGGGGGCCGACCGAGGGCCCAGAGGCGCCGCCAATCACCAAGGTCGAGAGGCCGTGCACGAGCGAAGGCGGCGGCGGCAAGAACGACTACTGGAGGCCCGAGACCGATGAGCTCCGCAAGCAGCGCCGCGGGAACGGATGCGGGTGCTCCAATTGCAGGCGGAAGGGGCATTGCACAACGTGCAAGGAGCTTCACGGCGAGGCGTCGGCCCAGCCGACCTAATTCTTCGGCGCAGTGCATCTGCGCGCGGGTGGGGCTCGCGCAAGTCTGCTCCGGGGCTAGGCTTTGGCGCGAGATTATGATTAAGCAGCGCCGTCTCACGCATCAGAGAGTGAATTGCCACCTCTACGTGTGAAGGTAGAAGCTCCATGGCGGGCGCTTTCTGTCAATCTCGCTCGGGAAACGAGATATACTACACGAGGATCGTGCAATCTGTTCGGGTCGGGCGCACGCCTCCAGGGAGGGCAGAACATCAAGCCTGCATCGGGGAAACGTAAGACTCGAGTAGGCGGGAACTCGGGCTTGTCGACGTTTCTGGACGAGCGCGTCTTGGGTTTTGACGGTCCAGCTTTCGTGGGACGTCCGCAGCGGGAGCTCGCGTTAGATTTCAGATTGGGGTCTCGCCATTTGTACGATGGCCCCGTAACCCGAGTCCCCCCGCGCCCGAGTCTTATCGGGCCGAACGAAAAGGCGGGATAGGAAAAGGGGGGGTTACGAAATCTGCCCTATGCAGCTGGTTTCAGCCCCACCGAGGGGCCCATTCCTCGATACATGGCCGCCTCCGGCGCCGGGAGGCGCCGGGAGAATCAGCTACGTGAGCTGAAAACCCCCCTGTGCTATCCCCTCCTGTCCCCCGCGCCCGAGTCCTGCGTCTCCCCGACAGCACGCCGTCGTGCGCCCCACCGAAAAGAACGGGTCCGGATGGGCCCCGGGAGGAGATAGGAATGGGGGGGAAGAGGAGAAGGAGAAGGAGGATCCCCTCGAGGCGGAGGAGGATTAGGAGGAGAAGGAGGAGTTGGTGGAGGAGGGGGAGGAGGAGGAGGAGGAGGAGGAGGAGGAGGAGGAGGAGGAACCGCTTCGGAGCGGCTGCCCGGGCCGGGCGGGCGAGCCGCCGCCGCCTCGCTTCGCCCGGCCCTACTCCTTCTCGGGACCCGCCGCTCTCTAGGCCTACTCGATGGGGCCGGAGCAGCCGGGGTCGGAGGATCGCGGCGGCGAGCGATGGGGGGCAGATGAGAAGGAGCAGACTCCTTCGTGCCCATGGAAAAGTGTTTTCGGGGTCTTCGGGGAAGGCTGGGGGACGTCTTCAGAACGCTGGGGGGCTTCCGAGCCTTCTGAGAAGGCCCGCCCCCTCTCTCTAGGCCTGCTAGATGAGGTCGGAGCAGATGGGGTCGGAGGATCGCGCCGCATCGCCGATGCATCGCCGATGCGGCTCGATGTGGAGCCCGTGTTTCTCCACGCTGACGTCGCCGATGCGTCGCCGATGCATCGCCGATGCGTCGCCGATGCACTGGCGATGCGGCGCGATCCCCCGACCCCATCTGCTCGGACCCCATCTACAGGAGGTCTCTCCTCCTCACTTTCCCCCCCTTGGGCTCGCCGCCGGTCCGGGCCGAGCGACCCACGTGGTGTCAGCTGCCCAGGCATGAAAAGCGTCGTCGCGACACGAGGCCCCGCCGTGCGGGATAGAGCGGGGGCGAAGGCCGACGACAGCCCTGCCGGCCCACGCTGCGCAGGGGCGCGCCGTGGGTGTCGCCGCGGGCGCTGGCCATTCGAGGCGAGCGGTCGCCGGCCCAGCTGCGGCCGCAGTCGGTTTTGGGCACCGTTGGCTGTTAGGCATCGTGCCGTGTTTCCCTTAACGTTCGACAAAGGGAAGCGCCATACATAGAAACTTGTGGCGCTCCGCGCGGATTTCTTGGATCCGCGCTGGGCCCCCGCAGCGGCGCCTCGGGTGCCTTCCCTGGCGAAATTCGCGCAGAGCGCCAAAAGTTTCTGTTTATGGCATTTGTTCGTCTTCTTCTATAATTATCCACTGGGGAGTGCCAGAGGGAGCAATTCGATGCTATTCCCAACCCTGCTGGTGCTGTTGGGGCCTCGTTTTGGATCCACAGCGCCGTGTGTCTCCTCACCTTCCTCCTTATCCTTATCCCCTTCCTTCCCGTCATTCCTCGTCCCCCTCCTCCTCCTCCTCCTCCTCCTCTTCCACTTCCTCCTCCTCCTCCTCCTCCTCCTCCTCCTCCTCCTCCTCCTCCTCCTCCTCCTCCTCCTCCTCCTCGGCGCACCCCTCGAACGTCTCGGATTCTCACCACGGTGACGACGATGGCGGCGGCGGCGGCAGCGGCGACGAGGCGGACGACAACGGTGGCGACGAGGCGGACGACTCTGATATCCGACATTGCGTAGACAATGCAACGCCGCGATAGATCAAGGTGGATCTTTCCAGCTGGATCAAGGCGTGGTGGCCCCAGGGCCCGAAACCAGGCGAAAGCGCCAGGTGTGAAAAGGTGGCGGCGCCCTGATTTCAGGGGAGGCAGACGACAACGGAGGCGACGAGGCGGACGACGACGGCGGCGGCGGCGACGACGACGACGGCGGCGGCGGCGCAAGCGCGCCTGGCAGGGCCCTCTGCGTGGAGTGCCTCGACGGCACCTCGATCAGCCCAGGCTGCCTGGTGACCGTGCGGGCGGCCTCCGGCGGACGCGCGCAGGACGTGTGGTGGCGGCCCCCGCGCCGTATGCCCAGACCCCTGCACACAATCACAATCCCAGCGCCGAACTCTTGCTGTGTTCCTCCTCCGTTCGCCTTCCTCCGTTCCCCCTCCCCCTCGCCTTGGCTCGTGTGGGCCATGGTGCGGGCGCTGCATTTTGAAGGCCTCCGCACCCACGAGATCTCGCCCCGCTCCGCCTCTTCGCCTCCTCGTCCCCGAACGAATAAAGAACCGCAAAATCGCAATCATCCCCGATCGGGCACTAGGCCCGGTCCCAGTTGGAACACCTGTTCACTAAAGCGGCCCCAGGTTTTGCCTGGCCTGCCTCTGGAGCGCTTCGGCCGTTGCAGGCAACCTCGAGTCGGCCACGCCGCCTGGGCTCCGCTCGGCAACCACACGCACCAGCCTGTTCCGGCCAGGGCGATATAGCTGTGTATATATATATATATATAGAAAGAGAGAGAGAGAGAGAGAGAGAGAGAGAGAGAGAGAGAGCGTAGTATTCGCCTGAGCTCATTTTTTCATCGCGAGCGACGCAGGCAGCTGCGCGCCGAGTCTGAGAAGTCGCGAGAGCGCAGGCCAAGCGCTAAGAAGTCGTGAGAGCGCAGTCGAAGGGGGCCACATATTCCTACCTGCCTGAAAACTCACGCGCCAGGGCCCGCTCCTCCTCCCAGGCCGTCTGCTGGACGGCCCCCCGCAGGGCCCCGCGCGCGGGTCCCCGGCGGCCGACGACGGCCCCCGGGGCCTCGGCGCGCAGGGCCCGCTGCTCACCCCGAGCCGTCAGCTGGGCGGCCCACCCCCCGAAGGCCCGGCGTGGGCCAAAAAATTGCAGAGTTTGTGTGCCAGCGCATTTTCTTTTGCGGCGTTGGGCGCCCTGGCGCGGACGGCCGACCGAACGACCCCTGCAGCGGGACGCCCTGCCCACACGGTCGGCGCCGCAAAAACTGCGCGTTCAACGCGGGCGCCGCGCAAAGGACGCACCGAAAGGCGCCGCGGCCGAGAGCGGCCCCCAACACCTCGGCGCGCAGGGCGGGCTTCCGGAGCGGTCCGGAACGCGCTCGGAGCGTGCCGGAGCGCTCTCGAGAAGGATGTATGGCGCCCGCGAGGCACCCTCCAGAGCCGCTGGGCTCTCAGAGATCCTCGACGCATCCTCGCCCGCTGTTGTCCTCGCCCGGGCTGCGTTTCAGCCCCAGGCCCCCGGCGTCAGGATTTGTCCATGACGTCGCCCCCAGGAGCCTCTACCCGAGGACCAGTTTTGTCATCTTGTTTGACAGTCCCGAGTCCCAGCGAGGGCCCCAGGAGGGCGAAAAAAGAGAGCCCCTCTCGCCACGATTTTTTCACGACGCGAGGCTGTCTGGGTTTATGATGATCCAACCTACTTAAGCCTGGATCACCAGTAAGATTTTCGAGCACCAAGAAAGCACCGAAACCTGAGAGTTTTCACGTGTCGGGGCCTGGGATGCGACACTCGTCCGACACCGCTTCGATACTTTTCAGGGTGCTCGGGATTTTTGTTTGGCATCTGGTCCGTGAATGCGATGGGTGCAACATAAGCCTGGGCTTGAATCGGGCCTGTCCCTCTACAGGGGGGGATCTTCAAAGACGGTCCAAAAGTAGCCTGGGGATTTTTTTGTTTGAAGTCTATTTCGACATGGTTTGGGCATTTATGGCGTATTTTTTGTCGTGGGATAATTTTTTGTTTTTGAAAAAAATAGAAAAAAAAGAATCGTGGAACATCGGCCTGTAGGGGGGCAGGCCCGACCGAAGTCCGAGCTCGTCTTCGCCAGGGGCCGCACGCGCCGCGCCGGCGCGGGCGCCTGCTCGGCACATTGTTGCGGCCAGAGCGCCGAGCCCCGGCGCCGTGCGGAGCACGTGTTCGCTCGGGTGCTCGGGGGCGGAGAAGAGGGGGGGGATGACAGAACCCCCAATAGTGACACGTCGATTAGTGAATTGCCCGTTCTCGGTTCTCGAGAGGGCGCCGTGGCCGTCATTTTCCAGGCCTGCGCCCGCCAGGTTTGGGCCTCAGGTCGTTTTCACTAAACCACGTTTTATTAAAGGGGGGTCTATCCATCCCCGATCAATGCTGGCAACATTCGGGGGCGGAAAAGAGGGGGGTGATGACTAGGGGGGGGCGGATACCGTGGCGGGGGCCATGATATTTCCTCCGATTTCATGGCGCCTCTTCTTGTTTCTTCACGTCCCTGGCCCCCCCGCTGGGCCGCGCACGTGCCGCCGGTCATGATTTGCACCCCCCCCTCTTGGACCCCCCCCTCTCTTGGCAGCTCCCGAGCGGGGCAAATATCATGGGAGCCAGGTGTACCCAGCGGTCGTTGAAAGTATGTAGGTCTTTTTGGGGGCTCCCAGATCCCAATCTATACTTTGAGCGCCGTCCTACTTCAATGATCGAGTGGCTTCACCTTTTCCCTCCTCCCAAGGGGTCGGGGCAAATCATGGGAGCCAGGTGTCGAAGAAGAAACAAACGCCATTAGCATACACTTTTGGCGCTTCGCGCGGATTTCTTGGGTCCTCGCGCCAGGGGGGCCAAGCGCGGACCCAAGAAATCCGCGCGGAGC